TCCATAGGAGAAAGATGTGGCAGTCTGCTTCCATAAAGATTTACAGCCTTGGAAACCCTATGGGGCAGTTCTACTGTGTCCTATAGGGTCACTATAAGTTGGAATCTACTCGATGGCAATGGGTTATCACAATTTTAAATGTACATTCCTTTTGTCAGCCATTCTATTTTTAGGAATCCTACTCATAGAAATAGTGACAAAGAGCACAAAGATATATTTATACAGTGGGTACTGCAGCATTGTTCATCACTGTTGTCTTAGTCACCTAGTGCTGCTGTAACAAAAATACCACAAGTGGGTGGCTTTAAAGAACAAAAACTTTTCGTCTCACAGTTTTGGAGGCTATAAGTCCAAATCAGGGCATCAGCTCTAGAGGAGGATCTTTCCTTGTTGGTAGCCCTGGGTGTTCCTTGGCGTTCCTTGGCTTGTAGATGGTTCCTTGGCTTGTAGATGGTTCCTCACGTGGTCTCTTCTCCTACGTGTCTCTCCCTGTCTGTTTTCCATTTTTATAAGACACCACTCCGAAGGGATTAGATTTAGAACCCACTGTATGCTGGTATGACCTCACTAACATAACAAATGAAAACTCCTATTTACAAATAGGGTTATATTTACAGGTACAGGGGTTAGGACTACAACATAACTTTTGGGGGAGGGACACAATTCAATTCATAACCGTCAAAAATTTGGAATAACTTAAAATCCCCATTAATAGGGAAAGTGGTTTAACTATAGTAGACTATGCAGATGAAAGTAGCAGTTACAAGAATAACTAGGTTTTTATGTACTGATAGGGGAAGATGTCTGCTTTACTTTTAAGTGAAAAGAGAACATACATACTTGTAAATGTGGTATAATCCCACTTTTTTCAAAAACGTTTATATCTATGCATGCATGCTTTGTCTTCTAATTTGTTCTGTATGAGTTGGACAGAAAATATATGGAAAGGGGGAAGTAAATTCAAGTGATGCAAAATTGAGAAAAAGATAAAGGAATGTCTCAAATGAAAAATCAGAACATTAAGTCTAGTGGGGAAAAAAACTTAATTTCCTAATGTTTAATAACCTATACTTTTATGTAGAAAGTCTTTGATGCGTAGTAAAATCCATTAATTGTACTTTGAGATTCTGTACCACCACAACCAAAAAAGTCGAGTCTATTTAGTAGTTTTTCATGGTAAAATGACAAAATGCTAATATTGGAAAGATCAGAAAGATCCTATTGAACAGGGATCCGGGGACTTGGACTCTGGGTTTTACTGGTACCACTGTAATGACTAAGATGACTAAGTAGAACACAGCATTTTTATTACAATGACTAACAAACATATAAATGTCCTTTTAAGAAACAGTGGACTTTTTACTTTGAAATAGGACACAGGCACTTTGAGAGACTCATTGTTTTAGAGATAAAAGATATAAATAAAAGATTGACAACTACTTGACTAGATATACCACCTGGCATCCTAGCTTAAAAATTAAGTGATCCTCAGTCATTTGAAGCTAACTGTCACATAGTGATTATAGAACATAAAGCAGAATTCAGTGGTTTTGAGGGTGTGAGAAAGGGCCATGTCCTCTACCTACCAAAGGTAGTTTAAGATGTGTGCACATGTTGAAGGGGCTGTGTGGCCTGGTAGCTCTCTGGAGTGGGCAGGTGTATTGAATCCAAAAGCTATTTCTTTCTTTTACGTAAAGCTTGATTTCTTAAGTTCTACTTGGAACGTGAGTATAGTTTTCTATTGTTTGTTTTGATTCCAATCATTGTTTTTTCTTTCTTTCATGCCTCTTAGAATGGGGAGTGCCCTGTTATCCAGATTTGACTTGGTCTTTATTCTGTTAGACACTCCCAATGAGGATCATGATCACTTACTCTCTGAACATGTGATTGCAATAAGAGCTGGAAAGCAGAGAGCTGTCAGCAGTGCCACAGTAGCTCGTTATAGTCAAGATTCAAATACTTCTGTACTTGACGTGGTTTCTGATAAACCTTTATCAGAAAGACTAAAGGTATAAATATTTCTTCTTAATCATTTGGCTCAGTTCTGTTTAAATGTCAGAGTTCAGTGTGTTGCTTATGGTAGAGTATTAATGTATAAACTTTAATAGCACAATCTTTTATGAGACTAGGGTTTATGTAAACTTTGTTTGAAACAAAGACTGAGAGCTAAAATTGTAATATCTAGTTTATTTGGTAATTCTTTTAGAGTTTTATATTTATATAAACTGTTCTTTTAGGAAGAATACTTTATTTGCTATGTATCCTTGTAATCTTGGGGTTTTGTATCATGCTTTAGGTGGCTCCTGGAGAAACAACAGATCCCATTCCCCACCAGCTATTGAGAAAATACATTGGCTATGCCCGGCAGTATGTCTATCCAAGGTTATCCACAGATGCTGCTCAAGTTCTTCAGGATTTTTACCTGGAGCTCCGGAAACAGAGCCAGCGGTTAAACAGCTCACCGATAACTACTAGGCAGCTAGAATCTCTGATTCGTCTAACAGAGGTTTGTTTAAGCTTATGCTTTTTTGGCTTCAACAAAGGTGGTAGAAGAGGCAGTATGATTTCTCTTTTGAACAGCCTTCTGCATAATTGACTTGATTTCTCATCCTGCTAAGTTACTGTGTGCTATAGAGTTGATTCTAACTCATACGGACCCTGTATGACAGAGTAGAACTGCCCCATAGGGTTTCCCAGGCTTTAATCTTTACGGGAGCAGATTACCAGGTCTTTTCACCCTCATAGCCGCTGGTGGGTTCGAACTGCTGACCTTTTGGTGAGCAGCCGAGTGCTTAACCATTGTGCCGTGAGGGCTCCTTTTTCCTACTAAGAGACATTAGAAATGAATGGATAATAGTTTCTTAAAAGATTCAATTATATATAACATATTGATCAGATCAAGTATAGCCACTTCTTTCTAGGCATGGGATCAGTTACTTGCCATGCACCTTATTTTATTTTTTTTTAATGAAATTTATGAGACTCTTGGAGTGTTTGACAAGTGGTTGGGATAACTAAGGATTCTGGGATTCAAAATTGAGTATATGGGACCATGAATGTGTAAATTATTTTGAGTATCTGATTTGATACCTGACAGGTCTGTAGGAACAGTGTCTGTTTTTCTAGCCGCAACAACATCTTTTCACAGCTGTGGAATGCTTAGAGAAGTCTGCTAATTAAAATTAACTGGGTTCCAACTTTGGGCTTTTTACTCTTAAATTTTGATTAACTTACCTTTGTCATTTTAACAAATTGTTTTGGCATACATTCTTGAGCATGAGGCAAGGAAAAATCAAGTGTATTTCATAATCAAATTTTCTGAAATCAGCACTTTCAGAAAGACATGTTCCCACTCACCCAGTGTCGAGTCAGTTCCGACTCACAGCCATCCTGTAGGACAGAGTAGAACTGCCCCATAGGCTTTCTAAGGCTATAAATCTTTACAGAAGCAGGCTGCCACATCTTTCTCCCACGGAGCAGCTGGTAGGTTCAAACTGCCACCCTTTCAGTTAGCAGCTGAGCACTTTAAGTACTGTGCCACCAGGGCTCCTGAAAGACATGTTAGTGGATAAAAATTGGTTTTAATCCATATTTTAAGTTACTGATCATTTTCATGCTCAAGTTTTTGGATGATTTTTAAAAATTTCTTTTTCAGATTACAACCTCCCCTCAAAAAGTCAGTTTTTGTGTAAGATGAATAAATAAAATAAGCTTAGGCATACCATACCTGTTCAAACAATGGTAAATATATTTATCTTTTGTTATCTGCCATAACTAAAAATGTTTTCTTTCAAAGGCACGAGCAAGGTTGGAATTGAGAGAGCAAGCAACTAAAGAAGATGCTGAGGATATAGTTGAAATTATGAAATATAGGTAAGATTAAATTTTAAAATACTGCCGTGAATGAAATACCAATTTTATTCCCATCTCAAATTACATATTTAATTAGGGCAAGCAAAACTATTTTATTTAGCCTACTAAAAAAAAAGCCAGACTTGTTGCTGTTGAGTTGATTTCAACTCATAGATCACCATTAGGACATAGAGATTTCCTCCTTTTTTATAGCTATAGAGTATTCCATTGTGTAGATGTACCATACCTGTTGTTGTCGAGTCAATTCCAACTCATGGCAACCCTATAGGACAGAGTAGAACTGCCCCATAGGGTTTCCAAGGAGTAGCTGGTGGATTCAGACTGCCCGCCTTTTGGTTATCAGCTGAGTTCTTAGTCACTGCACCACCAGGGCTCCATAAGATACTTCATATTTGGATGGAGTCCCTGGGTGGTGAAAGGTTGGAGGTTCAGGTATACTCAGAGGCACCTTGGATCTTCTGAAAAATCAGCCATTGAAAACGTTTTGGAGAACAGTTCTTTGAATAGGTTAATACATTCGTGTGCTTCAAAATCCAAAGTTCTAAAGCTTACTATGGGAAAAAGTTTTCCCCCTACCCTGTTTCTAGCTACTCAGTTCTCCCCTCTACATGGCAACAAATATTATCAGTTGTGTTGACTTTTCAGATGTAAAAAACACATGGCAAGCAAATATGTAACCATATATCCTTTTTCTCCCTTTGCAGACAAATGGTAGGGTACCATACACAGTATTCTGTATCTTGCTTTATTTACTTAAAATCCATCTTGGCTGTCATTCCATCAGTGCCTAAAGAGCTTCCTTTTCTTTTTCACAGCTGACGACTATTGCACTATATGGATGCATCATAATTTAGAAGTTAACTCTTTTTTAATACGTCCTCCCAGCAATTAAAATATAAATCTGTTAAGAGTCTACTTTTCCAAGGCCAAAAAACATTAATTTAAAGATGAAATTATTTGTACCGTATTCAGTTAAGTAATTTTTATTTCTTCAAAGGTAGATGGATTTTTCCCCCCTAATAGCTGCTATTCTGGGGCTTGCTTGGGGTCAGAATCAGGTGGCTTTGCCCAGTTGCCCCTCTTTGGCTCTTGGTAAAAGTGGTGGCACATAGCCGGAAGAGCATAGGCTTTAGAGCCCAACCTGGAGCTGCCACGACAAGTTACACCCTGCTTCTCAGTCTCCTCCTATGTGAAACACAACAAAGAGTTGTGCTGAAACATCATGAAATGATGCTGTATAACGTGACAATAATATGGTTTGACACATTCATCTGCACTTAGTAAACACTATGATCAATAGTGCTAGCCTTGATAATATTATTGAGATGAGCCTGAGCAGATCCCCTTTTCATCTGACTCATACCACAGACTGAAGGCTTCAAAAATTTCAAAAAAAAAATCCCAGATCCCAGATCAGGAGTTTCCAAAATTATCCTTTCCAACAGGTTAATTTCTAGGGTCTAGTCCTCAATGCTCTTCATCCCAATTGTCCAGTAGCTCTGGTGACTTTTAGACTCTAGGCTAGTCCCTTTCTCCCTTTCCTCATAGAGAGAGACTTTACCTAGTTGTCTCTTGGTCCCCAGGTTGGTACCAGCCTATCCTTGGAGGCTTCTCTGTTTCCTCTTCTGCCTCTAGAAGCATGTTGTATGGGTAGAACGGCAGCCATGCTACCTCCTGAAGGTCTGAGCACTAGCCTGCAGCTTCTTGCTTCCTGCTCTGTAAGGCAGCCTATGGAAGAATTTTTCTTCTTAAAATTCAATGTGTCAGAGTTTGTCTGCAACATTGAGATTACGTTTGCTTTGAAAGCTTTAAAGACTCAAATTAACAGCTCTTAATTCTTTATCGGGAGGAGCCCTGGTGGTGCAGTGGTTAAGCACTCACTGCTAACCAAAAGGTTGGTGGTTTGAACCTACCAGCTGCTCCAAGGGAGAAAGATGTGGCAGTCTGTTTCCGTAAAGATTACAGCCTTGGAAACCCTTCGGGGCAGTTGTACTCTGTCATATAGAGTCCCTGTGAGTCAGAATCTTTATTGCTGGCTCCAGAGCAACTGCCTCATAATGAGTAAAATTATTGACACCTAATGCCTACTGACATTTCAAACAATCCCTGACATATTACCTTCTATGTTTAAATATCCTATTGGTTGATCTGGCATCACTATGTGCTTGAACTGTCAATTTTAAATTTTACACGATTCAGTATTAGGGTTTAAGGGGGCTTGTAGCTTTTATTTGCCCTTCTCCCCAAACAGTCCATACCATAGTGAATTTCATAGTAGCCACTCAATAAATACATGTCTAAGGCTTTGCTAAGTGAACCTCATGGCTTCTTCCAACTTTTTCTTCTTATAACCTAGAGGCCCAGGACAAAAATTTCTGTAGCCATGCCACACTGGGTAACTGTTTTTCTCCCCTTCTCATTAAGCATGCTAGGAACTTATTCTGATGAATTTGGGAACCTAGATTTTGAGCGCTCACAGCACGGTTCTGGAATGAGCAACAGGTCAACAGCAAAAAGATTTATTTCTGCTCTCAACAACATTGCTGAAAGAACTTACAATAATTTATTTCAATTTCATCAACTTCGACAGATTGCCAAAGAGCTAAACATTCAGGTATGATAAACTAGATGCTTATTAATAAATCGTTTCTGTAATAATTTCAGGAGTTTCTTATTAATGTATAGTTGATCTTTTAAATATCAAAAGGTTTGGATTAAAAGAATAGCATAGGCTTATTTTCTCTGGGAGTATTTCATAATACAAGCTAGTTTATTTAAGCTATGAAATCAGCTGCTCAGAGTCTTTAAAAAACAGTTTTTATTAAGATTTATACCTACCTTTTTTCAAAAAGTTTTTCAGCTTCTTGATAATTAGGGGAAAACCTTGTAGTGGAACTCAGTCTCCAATCTTTTCTGGTAATCCCTTGTGGGCAAGTCACTTTAACAACCTTGAACCTGTTACCTTATCTGTTTAAAGGACTTGATTCCACTTGCTCTACCTACTTCCTAGTTTTAATAAAAACCAGTGTAATAGCACTTTAAACACACAAATCAGTTTATATGGAAAATTACCCAATTAATTTAAGAAACTAGTCTAAATTTTGTTTTAAAGCTAAGCTAAAACAAATATAAAACTCAGCATACTAGAGTTTTTGTTGTTTAATTAGCTTGGCATAGAATCCAAAGCTCAAATGTAGGCGGTTTTCTCTGAAAGAAGTGTGAATAATTCTTTTTTCCCAAGAAACTTGACAGGTGTTAACGTTGGAGAGATTAATTTTAAAAATCATATTCTGGTATATTACTTAATGGGGTAACTTTTGATGTTTTCTTCCAGGTTGTTGACTTTGAAAACTTTGTTGGATCACTAAACGACCAGGGTTACCTCTTGAAAAAAGGCCCGAAGGTTTACCAGCTTCAGACTACATAAAAGGATTTTACCAGGTCAGGGCCTCCTGGGTTTATTAGCAATTTAAGCCATTTCAATAATAATAGGCAAAAAAATACTGTTCTAAGAAAATGACATTCCAAATATAATGTCATAGCAAAAAATGTTAGATATGGTAAACTACTTTAAGAAATGGTAAAGTCGTGTTAATTTTTTATAACTTCTCTAAAATGCTAAAAATAAATTATTTTTTTACATTATCTTATCTAAATGATATAACTTATTTATAGTTATATTTTTGAACTGTATTCATTTTTATAAATCTTCCTTAGTTTTGCATATCAAATATCCATTTGGGTAAACATTCAGAAAGTTACATTTTAATGTATAAATAGTTCCAACACAAAAATAGGATTACCTTTCAGAAATAAATTGAAACCAACTTTCATTTGTAAAAAATGGAAATATTTTATATTGACATATTCAGCTTAACATCTTAGCTACTGAACTTTTCTTAACATCTTAAATTTAGATAGCTCTCATGTACTTAAATTATATTACCAAAGTTAAAACATGTACCTATTTGAATCATTAAATACTTGTGTATGGCTTATCCTAAAACCTAGCAGTCTCTGTTCTACTCTTCCACACTCCCTAATTTTTTGCTCAGTTTCAAATGTTCTTCTGTTTAACTCTGTTTTTTCCAAAGAACATGCTAGTACTGCTAATTCTTGAATTTTCAGTTTAAACATTGTCTATTAACTTCCTACTATAGAAACTGAGAATGTTGTTCTCTTAAATCCCTCTACATAAATATTTACATACCTCATTTCTTCCCACTTTAGTTATATATCATAATTTTTAGTTAAATCTATATTTAGCTTTTATATTATTAAGACTAATGAGTATTAGTCTTTTCCTTTCTTGTACAACTTTTTGTTTTCCCTAGAGTTAATAATTGCCTTGTTTTTTCCAACTGCTTAGCTTTCTACATATCTACCACTAATTTGACCTTGATGCTCCACTGTAAATGTAAATCTCCCCTTAGAACATGTAGACACATCAAGAAGTCTTTCCTGGGATTCTCTGACCTGCTCTAGTCTGAACTACACAGCTGTCATCCTGGCACTTCTCATTGTTTCATCCCTGCTTCCTGGCTCTTGTGTCTTCCTCTTTCTTCATGTACTCCCTCCTTTTGGTAGAACCCATCTTCTAGCAGCATCCTGACAAAAAATACAGGCAGTCTCCAGGTTACGAACGTCTGACTTGTGGCCATCTTGTACTTGCCCTTTAATGTTACGTAAATCTGCCCTCACTTTGAAACAACCGAACCAACCCCTACTCACAACAAATTCTTCATCACAATCACCTTCACTTGCTGCACATGCAGCTTTTCAATCATTGAAAAGTCTTTGAGCCTTTTCTTGCACTAACCCACCGAAAAACACACTGCTATAGAGTCAATTCTGACTTACAGTGACCCCATAGGGTTTCCAAAGCTGTAAATCTCTATGGAAGCAGACTGCCACTTCTTTCTCCCATGGAGCAGCTGGTGGTTTCAAACTGCTGACCTTTTGGTTGGCAATCAGTCGCTTTAACCACTGCACCACTAGGTCTCCTTTTTGCACTGAAGTAGGCTAAATAAGAACTGTACGCACCTGTTACGACTTACCTACAAATTTGACTTAAAGACACAATTAGGAACGGATTTCATTTGTAACCCGAGGACTACCTGTAAATTCTGCGCTCACCCTGGATTAATAGTTTAGGCATAGAATTGTAGTTAGGAAATTGTTTTCATTCAGGATTTTAGATACTGCTCTGTTGTTTTTTAGTTTCCAGTTCTGCTGTTTAGAAATCCAAATCATTCTGATTCCATTCTTGGTATGTGACCTTTTTTCACTCTTGGAAAGCTGTAAGGATCTTCCTTTTTCCCATGGAGTTCAGAAATTGTAGTGTATAATAATTCTATGTCCTTCTTGTTTCTCAGGCCAAAAATGTTGGCGTTATCTTTACCTCTTCTTTTGCTTACATCCGCATCAATCCATCGACAAGTCCTGTCAGCACTATCTTCAAAATATATCCAATATCTGACTTCTTTTCATTACTTCCAGTGCCACCATTCTGGTCTAAATGACCATCTCTTGTCTAGCTTTACAAGGACAAGGCCTTTGCTTTATTCACGGTTGTTGCCCTAGCAGGTAGAACAGAGTTGGACACAATTTAAAAATATTAATAACAATAAGAGCTGTTATTCTGTGCTGATGACTATTCTGAGTGCTTTATACCCATTTAATCCTTAAAACAATCCTATGAGGCAGATAACATATTGAATGGTGATTATTCCACTTTACAGATGGGAACCCAGAATGTAAGCAACTTGTCTAAGAACTTAGAAAAAGAACAAAAGAGAGAAGAGTTTCCACTAAGAAGATGGAGGCATTCCTCCCCCCTCCCCCGCTTCTCGGAAATTACCCAAAGGCAACAAGGAGACTGAGGAACAAACACAGATAGCTGATCTTCTTATGTGGACTAGGAAACAGCAGAAGCCTTAACCCATGTTAGGAACAGCTAGCTGCCAAAAGCTGTCAGGATGGCACAGGCAGCCTTGCCTGAGGGAGGAAGCAGAGATGATGCTTGTGGCCGAAGATCTCAGAAGGAAACAACAAAGTATATCTCTCAAAATGTACTTTGCACACCTATTGAAGCAAAAACTAAAATCTCATGCTTCCAATAGTATGAATATGGTATACAGGTTCTCTGAACTTTGAGTTCAAGAAGTAAAGGAGGAAAGGTTAAATGAGAAGTCACACAGATAAACCACCTAAAAGGAAAAAAAAAAAAAACTCAGGCTGGCGGCAGAATTCTCCAGCAACATGCATCACTAAAACAATGGAGCAATGCCTATAAAATTTTTAAAGGAAGAATTTTATGCCCCGGGTATTTCAGTCAGGTTTCTTAGTTGCAAATCAGGAGTCAACAAACTTTTTTCCTGTAATGGACCAAACAGTAAATATTTTAGGCTTTGTGGGCCAGATGGCCTCTGTCACAGCTAAATTCTGCCATTTTACAGCTCCACTTAAGCTGGGAAAGGATTTCTGCTCAGAAGGCACAACTTCAAGCATACATTGTGTGGATTAGCCAAACAGTCAGGCTTTATATGAGATAAGATTGGAGGATTGGCGAAATCAATTAGATCATGCCACACCTATGCTTATCTTACTCAGAATAAAAGCAAAAATACTCAAAATGGCTTACAATGCTGCTTGTTCATACTCTGACCTTAACTCTTACTGCTCTCCTTCCCCTCACTCTGCTTCAGTCCCACCGGTTTCCTTACTAGGCCTTGAACATGCCAAGCACACTTGTACCTCCAGGCCTTTGCACATGCTGTCCCTTCTGTCTGCTATGGTCTTACACCAGGGAGCCACATGTCAGCTCCTTTGGGTCATTACTCAAATGTCACCTTGTTGAGGTCTTCCCTGGACGTTATGTTTAAAACTGCACTCCTGATGCTGTCTTTCTTCCCTGTTTGGTTTCCATAGCAGTCAACAAATCTAACATACGTAGTTTATTCATCTTGTTCATGTCTGTTTTCTCATTCCCACTACAATATAAGCTCCTTGGGGACAGAAATATTATACTTTTTTTTTTACTGTTAAATTCCCTTTTCCTGTAACAGTGCCTGACATGTGACAGGTACTCAGCAAGTATTTGTTGAATGAAAGGCAGTTTGGGGAAGAGGCATGTGAGTGAACTTTTCAGAATATGCTGTGTGAGAATATCTGTGTCAGTGTGAATGCTTACCAAAAGGAGCTTCACAATTAAATGGATGTGACCTTTTCCACGGATGTCAGCCAGCCTTTCTCCAGCCACTCCAGCCCTTGCTCACTGAGTTCATGAACAAAGTGACCGTGGGGGCAAGGGTGGTTGTTATGCATGTGCTCAAGAACACAAACTTTCCTCACCAAGGCTGACTTAGACGCTTGCCATTGCTGAGTATCTAGCTTGCCTTGCCAGCAGAGCAATCCATCCTGAGACAACACAGCACCATACTTAAGGAAGACCAGCTTGCCACTTGGTGGCAGATCAATTACATTGGGCTTTGAGGGGGCAGCAGTTTGTTCTCACTGGAATAGATGCTTATTTTGGATATGTATTTGTTTCCCTTTCTGCCTTTGCTTCTTTCAGCAATGCCATCTGTGAACTTACTGACCTTATTTACCATCATGATATCCCACATATTACTTTTGACCAAGGAAGTCATTGTATAACCAAAGAAGTAAAGCAGTGTGTTGAAGTTCATGTGCTACTGTTTTACCACGTACCCCATCATCTAGATGCATCTGGCCATATGGAACACTGCCATGGACTATTGAACAGTCAGTTATGGTGTCAGCTAGATAATACCTTGCATGTCTGTTTGACTGTCCTACAGGATGTATTCTCTGAACCAGTGACCATTTATCTGGTACTGTTTCTTCCCTAATAAGAACACATGAGTCCAGTAGCCAAGGTGTGAGAGAAACGTGTCATTGTTACTCGTAATGGCCCATTCATTAAATTTTTGCTTTGTATCGCTATACATTTGGGTTTTACTGATTAAAGGTCTTAGTATCCAAAGAAGCAATGGTTCCTTTCAGCTGGAGGTTGAGGCTGCTACCTAAACATTTTGGACTCTTACGCCTATGAACTAGAAAACAAAAAGCATTCCTGGCTTGGTCAGTGGGTTCGCTCCTAATCATGAGGGGGAAACTGGGTCACTGCTATAAATAGAGGCATTAAGGAACATTTCTAGAATCTAAGGAATCCTCTAATATATAGATCCAGTGGGAAAAGGTAATGAAAGACTATAGGCAGGACCATGAAGGGCTTAGACACTTAAGGAATGAAGCTTTGAGTTACCCTGCAGGTAAAGAATCCAGGTCAGCTGAGATGCTGACTGAGCAAAAAAGCAATAAGGAATAGGAAACAGAAGAAGATAACTCTAATAACTAGGACATCATGACCAGTTACAGAAGCAAAGCCTGTATTTATACATTAACCAATTTGCCTCCCTCCCCCACCCCCATCCCCACTTTCCTCTGTTATTTTAAACAAAATGTACTGGTAGTAATCAACTTTATAATTTAGTCCTTAGGACAGAAGTTATCCAGGTGAATGCAACTTAACCAGAAAAGGAATAAACATGGCCCAGTGATTAACGGATCTTTATATTTAATCTTCTGTAAAGGAGAGAAATTTGGTTCTGGCTTTCACATGTTATAGTTGCTATTGTACAGAAGTTTAAGAATGGGTATAATTATGTGTGTGGATATTGACTAGCCAAAGAGGGGATGGTAGATAGAGTGATTTGACATTCAACATCCATTTTATCCTCCTAGTGTGTCCTCCTATAATGCAAGGCTGGAAAGCTAAAAACTACATTTCCCAAATCCCTTTGCAGCTAGAGTTCCAGGGGCGAATGGGATCCACCGATTAGATGTCCTTGTGTGAAATTTGGAAGGTGGAGTTGAGGAGAGCATCATCTTCTTGCTTGTTTTCTGGTGGCCCACATGGTTGAGACATTTCTCTGTAGCAGCACTCTAGCTGGTGTTAAAAGGCACGTATAGTCTGATGATGGCCCTGATTCTCTACCTTTCTCATTGTTGTGAGGTAGCAGCTCCCCTGGCAAGCCAGACCTGCAGTGTTTTTCTGGGAGTCAATTTTGCAGACCCAGCATGGAACTGCTCCTTCAGCCCTTCCAACAATACTTCACACCCAAGTTCCTGTTTTACATACCTTCTTTTTAATGTGGCTGGAGTGGTTTGTGTTTCCTACAACTAAACCCAGACTGATACACCTTTATCCAAAACTACATATTACATACTATTTAATTTAAAGTTGTGGAGGTAACCATCAGAAGAACAAGAAATAAAATTATACCAGATTTGCTCTAGAGAGTGAGCCTAGGTATGGAAAAGTAGAGTGTACCTGTTGATTTTCATTATCAGCCTTTTTATACAATGGAGTACACTTATATAACTGTTACATAAGTTATATAACACACACACACACACACACACACACACACATATATATAATTTTGATAAAATGTAAGATTAGTAGATAAGAAGGATAAAACAAGAAAATGGAGTAACATTTAAACTGAAACTATTCTTAGTACAGAGACTTCAAAGTCACTAAATAATTCATTGGAACTATACAGTCTTAGTCTTCTTTGCTTCCATAAATGAATAATAATTTCAGCAGGCCTTCTTTAGATATACTGAAAATACTGGATGGCCTGAGAACTACTCTTCCTTGGAGATTGTGTATTATCTTTAGTATCTAAAATGACTCTCCTCCTAAGTCCTGAGAAGCACCTCAGACCACTGCATCCACATGTTTGGTAGGTGGAATAGTAGTCCCTTCAAGGACATCCATGTCCTCATCCCCCAGAACCTGTGAATGTATTAGGTTACATGGCAAAGGGGAATTAATGTTGCTAATCAGCTGACCTTAAAACAGAAGGGTTATCCTGAATTATCTGGATAGGCCCAATCTAATCAGAAAGGTCCTTAAAAGTATAAGAGGGAGGCAGAAGAAAATCAGTCAGAGGAAGATGTGACTGTGGAAGAAAGGCACAGAGAGATGCACCATTGCTGACTTGGAAGATGAACAGGTCAACAGCCAAGGAATGTGGCGGCTTCTAGAAGATGATAAAGGAAATGGATTCTCCCTAGAGCCTCCAGAAAGGAACAGAGCCCTGCCAACGTCTTGGTTTTAGCCTGGTGAGACAGCCATGTTAGAATTATTACCTACAGAACTGTAAGTTTATGTTGCTTAAGTAAGGCACTAAGTTTGTGGTAATTTGGTTCAGCACCAATAGGAAACTAATACATCTTCTAAACTGTTCTAGCAGTAGGAGCCTAGATCTAGTCATGACACTGAAAACACCTGTAAAAAGACAAGTCCTTTTATTTGTCCTCCACTCTCTGAATGATTATAGACTCTTACTGAAAATGACTCCTAGCTAAAATTTCATTTGTGGAAGTCTATCATCTTTTTATTGACACCTCCCCTGTGAGACCATAAGAAACATGCTTTTTTAGCTTGTAGTTTGTGCTCTGTTACCCAAACCGCAGCTGGACCATGGAACCATCCCTTGGTGAGGGATCTGACACCATTCTGTAGCTCTGGAGTGAAGGTCACTGTTACGGATTGAACTGTGTCCCCAAAAACATGTTATAAATCCTAATATCTATGCCTTTGGTTACAATATCATTTGGGAATTGATTGTCTTTTTTATGTTAATGAGGCAGGATTAGTGTTGGATGTATCTTGAATCCATCTCTTTTTGAGATATGAAAGAGATTAAACAAGCAAGCTAGGAAGCCAAGAGTGGGGGAAGACAGATGCCAAGCTACATGAAGACTGCCCAGAAGCAGAAGCTAAAAGAGACAAGGACCTTCCCCAGAGCCAACAGAGAGAGAAAGCCTTCCCCTAGAGCCAGCATCCTGAATTTGGACTTCCAGCATCCTAAACTGTGAGAAAATACATTTCTGTTTATTAAAGCCACCCACTTGAATCCAAGATTGGCAGGTCAGAGAGCAGGGCTCTTGCTCATAGGCTGTGAAGATCAACGAATCCCAAGATCGGCAGATAAGCTGCTAGCTCAAGTCCCAAGAACCGGACATCAGCGAACAGGAGGCAGCTGCAGAATCCAGAGGAGGCAAAAGCCAGAATGTCCATCCACTTATATTTGGATGCAGGCTATATGCCCAAGGAAACTCCCTTTCAACTGATTGGCTACTCACAGCAGATCCCACCATGGGGGTGATCACATATAAACGCTGAGCATCATCACATCACCCAGCCAAGTTGACAATCTTACCCATTACGTTCATGCAGTATGTCAAACCTGGGGCCCTGGGCCACAGGCACAAGGAGAGGCTTTGAGCCTTAAGAACATGCTAAAGAGCTCACAATACTGCCTGAATGCAGTGAATGCAGAGCTGTGAGCCAGTGCTGCCCATGCTGCCCAGTGTCTATTACCTTGGGGTCGGTGAGTGGATCCCCAGGCTACAAGAAACCCTTGAAACTTTACACAAAATTTGGATTGCGTATTTTTATAGCTTTCATCAGATTCTACGAGGAGTCTGGAGGACAATCCATGGTAGGTGTTTTTGATCTTTTAGGGGATGGGGCCCAGATAGCTTGCAATAGCATAAGCTCTTTGTGAACACAGATGTATCTAGATTCTCTAGAATCTAGTACATGACTGGTATAAAAGAATTCTCTAAACATTTGTTGAAAAAAAGGGAAATAATGGCTTAGATTGCCTCATAGGGGAATCGGCTTGAGATTGGCAAAACCAAAAAAGCTAGTTCTTGTTAGGTGATGTCGAGTCAGTTCCAACTCATAGCAACCTTATGTACAACAGAAGGAAACACTGCCCAGTACTGTGCCATCCTCAGAATTGTTGCTATGTTCGAACCTATTGTTGCAGCTACTGTGTTGATTCATCTTGTCCAGGGTCTTCCTCTTTTTCATAGACCCTATACCCTACCAAGCATGATGTCCTCCAGGGACTGATGCCTCCTGAAAACATGTCTAAAGTACATGAGATAAAGTCTTGCCATCCTCACTTCAAGGAGCACTCTGGCTGTCCAAAACAGATGTTTGTTCTTCTGGAAGTCCATGGTATATTCAGTTTTCTTCGACAACACCGTAATTCAAGGGCATCAATTCTTCAGTCTTCCCTACTGATTGTCTAGCTTTCATGTGCATATGACGTGATTGAAAATATCATAGTTTCGATCAGGTGCACCTTAGTCCTGAAAGTGACAATTTCGCTTTTCAAAACTTTAAAGAGGTCTTTTGCAGCAGATTTTCCCAATGCAATATGTCATTTGATTTCCTGACTGCTGCTTCCATGAGCATTGATTATGGATCCAAGTAAAATGAAATTCTTGACTACTTCAGTATTTCCTCCATTTATCATGATGTTGCTTATTGGTCCAGTTGTGAGGATTTTTGTTTTCTTTATGTTGAGCTTCCATACTGAAGGCTGTAGTCTTTGATCTTCATCAGTAAATGCTTTCAGTCCTCTTCGCGTTCAGCAAACAAGGTTATGTCATCTGCATATCGCAGGTTGTTAATGAGTCTTTCTCTAATCCTGATGCCCCATTCTTCTTCATATAATCCAGGTTCTCAGATTATTTGCTCAGCATACAGATTGAATAAGTATGGTGAAAGGATACAACCGTCACACACACCTTTCCTGATTTTAAAGCACACAGTATCCCCTTGTTCTGTTGGAATGACTACCTCTTGTTATATGTACAGGTTCTGTATAAGCACAATTAAGTGTTCTGGAATTCCCATTCTTTACAATGTTATCCAAAATTTGTCATGATACACACAGTCAAATACCTTCGCATAGTCAATAAAACACAGGTAAACATCTTTCTGATATTCTCTGCTTTCAGCCAAGATTCATCTGACATCAGCAATGATCGCCCTCGTTCCATGTCCTCTTCTGAATCCAGCTTGAATTTCTGGCAGTTCCCTGTTGCTGTAATACTGCAACTGTTTTTGAACGATCTTCAGCAAAATTTAACTTGCATGTGATATTAATTATATTGTTCGATAATTTCTGCATTCTATTGGGTCACTTTTCTTTGTAATGGGCACAAATATGGATCTCTTCCAGTCGCTTGCCTGGGTAGCTGTCTTCCAAATTTCTTGTTATAGACGAGTGAGCACCTCCGGCGCTGCATCCGTTTGTTAAAACATCTCATTTGGTATTCTGTCAATTCCTGAAGCCTTGTTTTTCACCATTGCCTTCAGTGCAGCTTGGACTTCTTCCTTCAGTACCATCTGTTCTTGATCATATGCTGCCTCCTGAAATGGCTGAATGTTAACCAATTCTTTCTGGTACAGTGACTCTGTGTATTCCTTCCATATTCTTTTGATGCGTCCTGCATCATTCATTATTTTGCCCATAGACTCTTTCAATACTGCAACTCGAGGCTTGAATATTTTCTTCAATTCTTTCAGCTTCAGTAACGTGA